ATAGTCATATTTAAAAAGGCTAAGGTTCATTTTTTCTTTTGAACTTTTTTTTTTTGAGAAATGTTAGGTATCCTTTATTGATAAGTAAGACAATTTTCTGCTTGAACCACTTTTCCTAGAATTGAAAAAACTCTTCCCATTAGTCAGTAGTTAACTTTGCTCTTTTTCTGTTGACGTGATGTATGCAGGGCCCACATACAGTGACAGATAGGATTTTGACAATTTCTTTAATGCTAATTAGCACCTAAATTCCTTTTCTAATATCACTTGGCATCTTGAAGTCTTTTTTTATGAGTGCCATACACCCTAAAATCTTATTAAAATAATACTCCATCAGTCCCAAATTATATGGTACTTTTGAAAGAATTTTTTCGTTTTAAAATATAAGACACTTTAGGTAGATTAAGATTTTATTAAATGTACCAATGCTAATATTACCCTTTATCTCTCTCTATAATTAATTTTTCCCCTTCTCTTTTTAATAAATATAAAGTGATTACTTTTAAAAAAGGGCAATAATTACACATTGAAAGACTAAAAATGCTTTACATTTTAAACATTCAACCCCTTAAAAAATACTTTATATTTTTAACGAAGGGAGTATAATTTTTTTATATATAAATTATATTTTTAATATTGATTAAGTTTCTTAAATTTTTTAGGTCATCATCTGTAATTTTTTTGATCAATTAATGGTCTTTCTCCAAAATATTGTAGCAGCCAAATTTAATTCTCCTTGTACACTATAGTATTAGGGCTAAAAAAATCATATACATGATATACTAGCTAAGGCCAACATGTTAACAAAAGTACTTATTTGAAGGATATCATTTGTCCTGTTAATGTGCTATAAAAAGTGTTACTTAACAAGAAAACATGGAAAGATGAGGGAAAAAATCTCCTTGTTAATTTGGAGGTTCATTTCTTTCATTTTGAATACAAAGTTATAAAATAGGGAAAATGAAAACAAAATCCTTCTAGATTATATAATTGACAATCTAGTATTTTAAAATGGTATAATTTTACTAAAGTCCTTAAAGATTACTGTTTCAATAAATTTTAAATTAAAAAAATTATTTTATCTTTATTGATAAGTTATGATTTCTTGTTCAATTACTGTAATTTTTTTAATAAAAGTTGTCATTCTCTAAACAAAAATTGTGATTGGGACCTATTATTTTGAAAATTTATTTTTTAATAATAAAAATTATACTTGACACGTTATGATTTCATGTTCAACTTTTGCAATTTACAGAATAAAAATTATTATTTCCTAAGCAAAAGTTATCATTAGGGCTTGTTATTTTTTTATAAGGATAAAATAATTTTCACTTTAAAATCCATTAATACATAAGTTTTTGAGAATTTCAGTAAAATTATAGTATTTCAAGGGATTAGATTATCATTTATATAATTTAGGAGGATTTTATTGTTATTTTTTCTATGAAATATCAAAATATTAAACTTAGATGGTATAGTATTTTGGAAAAAGACCATTAAGTAATCAAAAAAATTATAAAGAAGGACCTAACAAATTTAAACAAACTTAGTCAATATTAAAATATGATTGATATATAAAAAATTACAAGTCATGCATAAATTTTTAAAAAACAAATTTGAACTGTTAATTTTTTTAAAAATATTTTATAAATTTTGGATGAATATTTATAAATAATAATATTTAAATTACTAAATACTAAGATATTTAATATTTTAATAATATATATTAAATTTTATTTTAACAAAACCTCAAGGTGCCTAACGCTCATGGAAAAAGACTTCAGGGTGCTCGATACTTTTAAAAAAAGAGTTTAGGGATAAATTAACATTAAAAAATATGATCAGAATCAGAATCCTACCTATCATTGCATGTGAGTCTCGCGCACATGTCATGCTAGTAGAAAATAGAAAAGTTAAGGGTTGATTAATGAATTTTTTTTAGAAAAATAATTTAAAAAAAATTATCTCACTTATTAGTGTAAGGCGTCTAATGCTCCTCAAAAAAATTTTAAAAATAAAAACAAACCCTAACTCTATTTTAAAATAAAAGAGCTAACATTGTAGTGAAACTTTAAGAACATGGAGTAAAAAAAACAATAAAGAAAGAAGCTATTATCAAAACATGCTAAAAATATAGGCATATACTCATTCACTTGTTTGCTTTTTCACTTGGTTGTTTCCCTTTTTAATTCATGCCCCATCTTAATTTTAATTTTAATTTTATTTGTTAACAAAATTATTTTAAAATTTTAAACACATACTTCATTGTGTCTTTATTATAGGACATTTTTTTTTAAAAAAATATTTGGTTCTGAACATAAAACACATGGGAGTTATTTATCAACAATTTCTAAGTTTACTCTTGCTATAAATTTAATTTTATAGCTTATTGTATATCTTCCTCTCTTTAATTTTAATAGGAGTAAAGTTGAAAAAAAAATTATTTAAAGATGTACTCCCAATACTTTCATTTATAAAAGAAACTATTATTTTTAGTTTATTTTTTTATAAAAGTAGAATCACATTTTTTTAGTAGGCATTTATTGCAAAATTCCTAAATTATTTCTCATAATTTGGTGAAAAAATGACAACAAATCCCTTTGAAATATATAAACAGCAATTTAGTCTTTTAAAATATCATAATTTCCCTGAAGTTTTTAGAAACTTTTTTATTATTAATGAATTTATATAAATTATCACACTACCCTTGTTAAAAGTAAATGATTCACAAGTTTTATTTAAATATTCACAATTTTCTTTTTTATATTCGCAACAATACAACAGCAAAACAGCAAATCATAACTTCACATGTTAAATTCCTTATTTGCTGTTGTATTGTTGCGAATATAAGAAGGAAAGTTATGAATATTTAAACAAAACTTGTTAATCATTTATTTTTAACAGGGTAATTTCATAATTTATATAAATTTATTAATAACAGAAAAGTCCTTAAGGACTTCAGGAGAATTATGACATTTTAAGAGAATAAATTATTATTTTTATATTTTAAAAAAATTTTATTGTTATTTTCTCTAATTTTATCATTCATAGTCATAAGAAACAATTAAAACTAAATTAACGTAACACAATTAATGAAGGGTATTATTGTTCAATTTTTTTATTTTCAAATACAATTAATATAGTTAATTAATTTTTTAAATTATATAATATAATTTTTTTTCTACAAATACAAATAAAAACGGATGGGGCATATAACAGTTAATCATGATGCCTTGATTCCATTAAAACACTAGTTAAACACACTTTACAACAGGACTGGATGAAATATACGTTTCCGATAAATGATAATATTTTTTTTGGTTTTTTTTTGGGGGATATTAGTAATTGATTAACCGCCAGTATAAAGTATCTATTACTAAAATAATAATACTTTTTTTGGTTTTTTTTGGGGGGGATATTTTTTAATATTAAAATATTAAAATGCATCTATTAGTTATGTAATATAAAATACATAAAAAATAATAATACTATATTATGCATGAGCCATGATGAATTATAATTCACAACTTTGAGGTCATGCTTGGTTATTAAAAAAAATAAATTAAAAAAATAAATGTAAAAATGAGATGATAAAAAAAGATAATGAACCATATTCATAAATAAATAGAGTAATTTAATTTATGAGGTTGAAAATTATAATTTATTAAATTTTTAAAAAGTGTAATAATTTTTATATTTATAATATATATTAATAAATTTTATTATATTTATTATGAGGAGAAGGAACAATTTAATTTATTTTTATATTATTTTTTAATTTAATTTAATTTATTTATTTTTAGTAACCAAACTTGATCTGAAGTTTAGTTGAAAAGAAACATGAGACCCATACCTAAGTCCAGGGACAGAACAGTGCACACAAGCAACCAGATGTTCCATGCCCAAAGCCCAAACAATGCCACCTCAAGACCAAGATCACATGGAATAGCATCAAATCATCAACCCCACTCTAAAATATAAGGTGCCCATAGGAGCGACAGCCTGTCAAGACATGGGAAGCAGCTAAAGCCAACTCAAATTCCAAAGTCATGTGCCCTTATCAATATAAATATTCAGCCATCCACACTCTGTTCAGTAGTATTCACTTGCAATCTGCTCTGAGTCTGATGGACAACCTTCTTCTTCTTTTCATTTTTTTTTAAAATATATTATTTAAATAATTTAGAAAAATATTTCTGATCATGCCGTATACTTCCAAGTAAATTGAGCCAGAGAGAAGGCTACAAGTTACACTATCAGCCAATCAGGCTCTCACTCACACTTGATGGGTAGGGTAAGACTGTAGGGTCAACTGGTCAAGGCTCCAGGCAGAGATGAGATTGTTGTATGTAGCTCGCCCTCTGTGCTTTCTTTTTCATCCAAAAATGAGTGTCAGCTCACAATGCAAGCAACTTCAGTTGAGACAAGTTTGGGGCTTATTCTCTCCATCATAATATATGATATTTTTTTAAAATTTTATTTAATTTAAAATATAAGATATTATTTATTTTTATAATTATTTTTTCAATTACACCCTTATTTTATTTATTGTGTTTTTTTATATATATATTGAAATTATTATTAAGACGCTTATATAGTGTGTTTAATGATGATAAAATTTTTTTTATATTTGTAAAGTATTTATTATGCTCCATAAGATCAAAATCTTAATCAAACACGGTTATCAACAAAACATTTTATTAATTTGATTGAGATTTGACTTGACGATTTTTTGGTTAAATAGATCCGGTTAGCCCGATTTTTAATATCATGGGCAATACCAAAGATTCCAATGTCCAAATGTTTGTGGAGGGTTAGATGACCCTGAAACGATTCCACTTTTCCGTTTTCTTTACTTACCAATGGCAGTACGTAAAGCTCATTCAATAGATAAAATCAAGTTGAATTATAGTAGATCATAAAAAAATGCGTGGGTCCTGCATTTATATCTCTGTCAATTTCGAAGATAAACGAATTGATTCGAATCCCTGAAACAGCATCGTATTCAATTCAAAGAAACGAAAGAGTACGGACAGATAGATAGATTCATCTTTCATGTTATTAATAATTGGTCTTCTTCCCAACTGTTCCATTCTCAGATATTAGCCTTTCCTTGTGGTCCGAAGCAGAGGAATTACTCTCTGTCTCTTACCCTTTACACTCGGCTAGAGGGCAAAGCTTGCTGACCGCCATTATTGCTTCTTGAACAAAGAGCTCCACCATGTGCCAGCACTAAGTGCTTCAACTTCAGGTACCCCACCTTGGTTTTCAAGCAACAAATCCCAAAATCTGCTATTATTATTTGTGACTGCTTTGCTTCGTGAAACAGAGAAGCTTTTCATGGGGTTTCATAACTTGGTTCTGCTACTCTGTTTTGCTTCTTGCTGTGTTTGTTCTTCTCAATTACAATCATCTCAAACCCAAGTGCTTCTTCAGCTAAAGAAGCACCTGGAGTACCCAAAACATCTAGATATATGGAAGGATCGTTGGGCATCTTTTTGCTCTTCTCCTTCTTCACAAGTAAATGTCACATGCCAAGGAAATTTCGTGACCGAGCTAAGCATAGTAGGTGATGCTAACCCTTCAAAGGTTAGAGATTTTAATGGGTCTCCTATCCCGAATCTGACATTGTCAGAGAACTTCTCTATGGATTCTTTTGTGGCTACTCTTGCCAGGTTAACTGGCTTGAAAGTTCTTCGTCTCGTTTCTTTGGGCTTGTGGGGTCCGCTTCCTAATAAAATCCAGAGACTAAATGAGCTTGAACATTTGGACCTGAGTTCAAACTTTCTTTACGGCTCAATTCCACCAAAGATTTCTACCATTGTGAACCTTCAAGTTCTTGCACTTGATGACAACTTCTTTAACAGTACTATTCCCGTTTGGTTCAATTCTTTGACTAATTTGACAGTTCTTGGCTTGAGTAATAACAGATTGAAGGGTCAGTTAGGAGATTTTAGTGTTTTGAATGCCTTAGAAGTGCTAGATTTGAGAGAGAACAGATTGGACTCTACACTACCAAATGTGCCAAAAGGGTTACTAAGGCTTTTTCTGAGCAAAAACTTGTTCTCAGGTGAAATTCCCAAGCAGTATGGTCAGCTAAATAGGCTTCAACAGCTAGACATTTCATTCAATGCACTCACAGGAACGCCTCCTGCTGGGATTTTCTCGTTGCCCAATATCACTTCCTTGAATTTGGCATCAAACATGTTAAGTGGGTCACTTCAGAACAATCTAAAATGTAGCAGCAAACTCAGATTTGTTGATATTTCACACAACAGGTTAATGGGTTTCTTGCCTTCTTGTCTGGGAACAGAGTCAGAAAACAGGGTTGTGAAGCTTGAAGGAAATTGCTTATCCTCTAAGTTTCAGCATCAACACGCAGTATCATACTGCACAGAGGTTCAAGTGAGGAAGAACACACTCAGAGTTGGAATTTTAGTTGGTGTAATTGTTGGAGCTTTTCTAATAATTGTGATTTTGGCGTTGGGAATTGTTGTGTGTGGAAGACATAGCTCTAGGGGGATCTCAGAGCAGCATCTATTTAATAAAACAGTTCAAGATAGCTCTATAGCTGCAGTTGGGCTCTCCACTGAGATTCTGGCTAATGCAAGTATGTTGTCTTCATCCTTTAATGGTAAACAGACACACACACACATTCACTGAAAAGTTCAAACTTACATCTGTTCTTGAAAGATATATGACTCAAATATTGTCTTGTCTTGTTCTTGTATGATTTAGTCCTAAAATTGTTTTACTTGCTATTTGCTCTGCTATATTTTTTATTTACAGCAAAATACTGGATTTAGTCCTAAAATTACATTTCCTCTCATCAAAATCATGGGTGAATGATCATATTTTTCTGGCCATTATTGATTGAGGACTAAAGAACATAAGCAGAAACTGTAGTTTTAATTTTTATTTGCTAATTTTCAGGATTTATTTCTCAAGCTTCGAAGTTAGGCAAAGAAGAGATGCCCATGTGTAGGCCCTACTCTTTTGAAGAGCTTAAGCAAGCTACAAATAACTTTCATGACGCTACCTTCATGGGTGGAAATTTATACGGGAAGGTAATATTTAATAGGAGGGAAAACTTGATGTTCAGTTTCTAAGAGTCATTATCAGGTTCTCAAATAATAACTATTTTTTTATAGCTCAAAGCCATATGGTTAAATCTTTGAAAAATTTCGTTCACAATATTATGCAAGTTCTGTCTGTATCCAGTTCCAAAGCATAAATTTGAACCTTATTGAATATAAATGTCGTATAACTACTTAAACAGGAAAAAAAGGGGGACGCACAAAAAGATGATGAAAAGCCTGTATTAATCAATACTCACAAGTCACAACCATTAGAGTGCATGCTTCAAATTATTGTAAGACGTGATACTCATGAAAATTTCTCCCATGTGTTACAGCTTTACAGGGGCAAGCTACAAAATGGGAAGCAAATTACAATAAGAAGCCTGCCACTGTCGAAGAAATATTCATTCAGGAATTTCAAGCTCAGGTTGGATTTGCTTGCAAGGCTTCGTCATCCTCATCTGGTTTCTCTCTTGGGTCACTGCACTGATGGTGTTGTAGCAGAAAATAACGGCAGAAACATCTTTCTCATATACGAATACGTGCACAATGGAAGTTTTCAGAGTTACCTATCTGGTAAGACCATCACTTGTAAGTTCACTTTTTGAATTCTTAAAAGTCACGATCCTTTTTGCCTTCACTTTTTTTTTTTTAAAATTGGTATTCTCATTTATTTTAGCATGATTTTGAGTAAATCACATATGATCCTGACCTTATAAGTGACTATTAGACTTGAAGGCACGTGTGCTCTCCATTGTGCACAAATCTACTTTATAGTTTATATGTATTTTGGGCTTTATATATGAGTCTATCATATTCAATGTCCTAATGAGGTTTCAATGAATATCTTGAAGACGTTTTATTTACTTCATGAATTTTTGACTTTTTGTGCAGAAACTTAACCTCTCATGTTCTCCATTTTTTCTGAAGTGCCTGAAAACCAATTTATATGGGGATGATGTTTTTTTTCATGCCTAATTCTTAAGCACTTAAGAGATAAGATTACCAAGCAATACCTGAAGCAATTATAATGTTAGATGAAACTTTGGTTTCGAGGAATTCAGTTTCTGAAGCTGTTGATTTTATATCCGACATCTTAATTAAACCGGCATTGTATGTGTAGGAACTAGTTCTGGCAAGGTTTTCAGTTGGTCTGAGAGGTTGGCGGTTTTGGTTAGTATTGCCAAGGCAGTTCACTTTCTGCACACCGGAATGATACCTGGTTTCTTCAAGAACCGGCTCAAAACAAACAATATACTGGTTAGTGAGAATTGGACGGCAAAATTAAGTGACTATGGATTGTCCATTATCTCAGAAGAAGTTGATATATGTGAGGTATGATTTCCTGCTTCTTTCTTCATTGCTGGTCTTGCAAAACTTTGTTCACATCAGTGATTACAGTTTATCTTTTGTTTTGTAGGAGAAAGGAGAGAACTCTGGATCATGGTAAAGATTTTCATAAATCAAAGTAACTCATTAATTCGTTGGCACACAAGAAATCAGATGACTTCTGATAGACTTACCAGAATTTCAGCAGTAGTTGTATTTTTTTTTTTTCTAGCTCCTTATTTTAGTTTTATTTGTGCAAGTGGATTTTCTCAATATCTGTAATTTCAGGGAAATGAAGAGATTAGAAGATGATATTTACAGCTTTGGATTTATACTGCTTGAAGCACTTCTTGGACTTTCAGTATCTGCTAAAAAAGAAGCAATTTTCCCGAATGTGATGGTATATATTTGTCTTGTTTGGATCTATAACATTATTGATAATTTCTTTGGGGGTTTGGACTGATGAAGCTTGTTAATTTAGCACTCTGAATCATAGTACTGTAATTGCAGGCGTGTTTCAACAGCGAAGATGGGTGGAAGCGGATAGTGGACCCAGTAGTGCAAGCAACTTGCTGTCAAGAATCTTTGTTCACTGTGATCTCCATCACAAACAAAAGCATTTCCACTGAATCTTGGAGCCGACCATCCATTGAAGATGTCCTTTGGAACTTACAGTATGCTTCTCAAGTTCAAGCAACTGCTGATGCAGATCATAGATTTGATCCCACGACACCACATCATCAGTGACATAATTTTGAACTTTGCTTCTGAAACATAACAAAGGTTTTGATTCTAGGGCAAAAGGGTAATTTTACTCTTAAACTATAGGATTAAGAGTATTTGAGATCTATACTTTTTATTTTTTGGTGCAATTTTGCCTCTCAACATTTAAAAACATTACAATGTGCCTCCTTTAATTAATTATAAGGATGTTGACTGTCGAATCATATGAGAAAAAGTTTGAGTTTCACAACACTAAACTGTGTAATTAATGGGATGGGGCACATTGGGATGTTTTAAATGTTGAGTGACAAAATTGCATTAAAAAAAAATTGAGGTTCTTAAATGTTCTTAGTCCCATAATTTAAGGGCAAAATTGTCTTTTGATCCTTAATTCTTTGACTAGCAAGTACGATCTAGAGGTGGAAAAATGTATTTGTTGGGAACGAAATTCATATACGTTCAGTCACGAACCAAAAAAGAAAAATCTCTCCTTTAATTGTATCATGAGTAATGTACTACTATACAATTGGATTTCCTAATTTTCGTGAACAGAATTGACCATTAACATCGTTTAATATATCAATAATGAAATCTTTCATCCATGCTCTGCTATAGTGTTTTCTTCTAGAGAATGCCTTGTACCGAGAGCGGAAATTTCTAAAATCATGATAAAAATACGGGAAGCTTGTAATGTGTGAATCTTTGTTTTTCCTAATCATTCTTGAAGCAAATTTAGTTCTGATAACCTTGGTATAGGAGCATACTTAGGATCTATATGATACACAGACAAGGAATTCAAAAGTTTTATTCACATAACATATTTTCAGGGGAAAATACAACAGCCCTCTCTATCTCTAGCTGAACATAATTGGGCCAAAAAGTTGAGTGGACTCACACGTTGCATAAATTTTTGCTGAAAATTATTTGGAAACCACACAATTTTTCATTTTAAAATAGCATTCCATCTTCATCCTCTCATCAACCACCATCAATCTCAACGTTCAGACACATAAGTAAAAGTTACACAAAAATGCAGAGAAAAGGTCTTAGATTCCCTGCTCAAGCATGGCTCTCACCCTCGATGGAAGGCCATAAAGCTGTATAAAGCCAGTAGCATCGGCTTGATCATATATTGGGTCATTCTCAAAAGATGAAATATCTTGCCTGTACAAGCTATTAGGGCTTTTACGACCACTCACAGTAATAGAGCCTTGTGCAGTTTCAATGTCACAGAACCTGTTGTGGTTTCTGTGATCTTCTCCATGAAGGCATCCATGGATTCTCGAAGAGGATCAAACCACTTTCCCACATACACCATCTCCGCATATTTCAGGGCTAATGGATCTTTCACTTGGATTGTTTCACGGTCAAGTGTCAAACACTCTAGCTCACGTGCTGCTGTGAACAGGATGGTTCCCCCAGGAGCTTCATAAATTCCTCTGGCCTTCATACCGACAAGCCGGTTTTCGATCATGTCGGACCGGCCAATGCCATGCCTTCCGCCGATCTCATTGAGTTCGGAGAGTAAGGATGCTGGTGATAGCCTCTTCCCATTGACTGAAACAGGTATTCCTGACTCCATCTCAATTTCCACATATCTGCAAGACATAAGTGCATGTGTTGGGAAATGTCAAGTCTAGTAAGAAACTTGAACACTATGAAGCACCAATATTAATATAGACATGCGACTCCACAACAGGCAAATCAATTTCTGGATTTGAGGTGCTTGCTGGCCTCTGTGCCTCCTAATATCCAAAATCTTATTCCCTTGTAGCTAATGGTAAGAGAAATTTCATCTAATTCCTCGAAATGAACAGATGAGATTTTCAGCATTAGAGAAGGCAACCCATGCCCCAAACCTTCAATTTCCATGTGACAACATTATTCGGTGTTTAATTGCAATTTTGAAGTGTCATGTTGAACCTGATATGCTAGTGTTGGATGCTCATGAAACGTAATGCAATGTTTTTTGCTTTTTGCTTTTTTTTTTTTTAAGGTTTCTGGTGCTTCGTAGTATTGTGAGAACATAAGGACATTTTTACTCTGCTTGATTTGGAGCATCCTCTGGATCCACAGATATCATGTACATGTCCTTTTTCGGCTCGTTTCCAAGGTCTTCCAATATATCACCCTTCAGCGTCACAGATTGCAAAAGTGAGAGAAAGCAATATTCTAATTTCTAGCTTTAAGAATGCGAATCAGGTTGTGCATTCAATTTAATGATTCAAAAATTGTCATTAGTAATTGAACTCTATTGGGTTCTTTTAATTATCTCAAGAAGCTTTGTGCCATCCTTTTAGAAACAGATAAATCATAAACAAAAGTAAACTACAAAGAATGCTCATGTGAAATTTGAAGCATTTTTTTTTTTTTTGTGTTTACTCTAAATCACGATTATAGGTCTCAGTGACTTCCAACCATGGAAATTTCTTTCAAGCTTCTGCTCAAAATAACAAAAACAAAAACAAAAAGGAAAAAGAAAGATAGATAATTAAATAACATATGTAAATTGCACATTTCTTCTATTTTTAAAGGCGGTTTGCTTATGTTTAAAAATAATACGTTTATTAAGGTTTTGAAAATAAATAGGAAATCTATGAAAATTTACCTCATGGCTAAGGTGCCAAATATTTTTATCTCTGCTATATATGGATTTTTTGGTGACAGGAACAGGCACATTATGCTTTTCTGCATAGTCAATTGCATCTTCCCTCCCTGTGATGTCCCACTCCCTCCATGGAGCCACAACACTTAGTTTAGAATTCAGAGCAAAGAATGAGAGCTCAAATTGAACCTATATGATACAAACTTGTGTGAGAAGAGAGAAAACAAATAAAATTGACAGAGCTAAATCTTTGAAAGTAATCCTAATACATGCCTGATCATTCCCTTTCCCAGTACAACCATGAGCCACACCATCTGCTCCAACTTCTGTCGCAACATCTACCATGGTCTATCAACATTTATGCATCAGATAATGTTTGTGTTACAAAACAACTACTCACTCTAGTTCTATTTATAGGGCAAAGAGAGAAGAATTTTTTTGATTCTATTTATAAATCGTGTCATTAAATTTTCATCACAAATTTTCTCTTTTACCCTTTATTGAATGTTGGAGAGAAAAAATATATCATTGAAATGTGTATATTTAATAAGGACAAAGTTAAAAATTTATTAAATTTTAAGACAGAATGAATAAATTTTAAAATTTTTCTTGATATTGATGAAATATGTTGGAAATGATTTATAAATAAGATCAGAAAAATATCTTATGTAATGGCCAGGTCCTTCTACTTCTCTCTACTTTGTGAAGTGCTTAAGAAAGACATGACCATGAGGGCCCCATGTGAGGTTTGGGGCTGGCCCCATACATTCCTTTCTTCTTTTGTTCAAGAAGCATGTGTTTTGTAAAATATATAAAAATTGGATTGGTTATTGAATTGGTCAAAAAGTTAATTTAAAAGTTAATAATTTAAATCATAGTCAAATTATGGTCAAACTTGTCATGAATAAAATATTTCATTGAAACAATCGAGATAATTATTCAACCGTTTATTGGATTAATTAGTTAGATTGATTTGATTTTTAATATTAAAGAGACATGGCATCAGGCTAAAAGATTTATGACAAAAAGAGGCATTGGGTTGAAATTAAAAGTTTAATCTCTAACGCATTAGCTAAAATCTCACAGGCCATATTAACAGAAGAAATGTGATTAGAGTGAGTACTATCATTTGTTTCTATCATAGGAACTAATTGACTAAATCAAACTTAGAAGCAAACAAAATTAAAAATAGAGATACTTTTGCCATAAGAGGGCGAGCCATTGCAGTCCCAAGGAGATACTTCCTCTCATAAATTGCATCAGCACGCAAGCAAGGGAATATGTAATCCCTGACAAATTCTTCCTTCAAATCCTTCACCACTAACTGAGAGGCTCCACTAGCTTTGGCCTTCTCTTCTAAGCCTTCAAATTCTTTTTCACCCTGTAGAGTTTATTAGCACTCAATATCAAACACACAGTAAAAACAATAATATGGGTATGGTGCAAAAAATCTTGAAGCATCTTTCCAACAACACAAGATCATTAGTCTTTGCTTATGGGAAATGAGGTCTGTTAGTTATAACATACTTGGCCGACATCAGCTGTGAAGCAAACGACATCACAGCCATAATTCTCTCTGCAAATTATAACAAGAATAAAGCAATATTAGGCATAACCAGGCATAACAGTAAGATCAAATTTAAAAACAATATCTGGGAAGAAAAATTTAAGACCCCCCGATTTTTCCATGCCTTTTTATTTCTACAAAACTCCAAGTCTCTTTAGTTTAGATTTTCTGACTTCTATATCTGAATCATATGTAAGCATATATAACAAAATCTTTAGTAGATTGCATTATTCCTTAGTTCTCTCCAACAAATCAATATATTCTTTTCTGAACATGCGATGGAAATCTAGCTATGGGGAAAAGAAAAGGGCAAGAAGGAAAAACAAAACACCACATATATATGTATGCACACACCTTAGCCATGGGACAATGACTGATGAATCTAAGCCACCACTGTAAGCTAGCACAACCTTGTTCAATTTTCCACGAAGACCACTACCTCTGGTATTGGAAACTTCTGTTTCCATATCACGCTTTAAAACTGCTTTTGTTACTACATGCGAAAGTACATTGTGAGACTCAGGGCATGATTAGTTTTTGTTTTCAAAATCTTTTTTTCTATTTTTTTTAAAAAAATAAAAAACTCATTTGAATGAGTGTTTCAGATGTAATTATTTTCAAAACTATTTTATTTTTTGTTTTTTAAAAACAAAAAATGGAAACATTTTATTTTTTTTTTCATTTTATTTTTCTTGTTTTCAAAACATACTACACATGATTATTAGAAAATATAGTTAGGTTGACCAATTTTCATCATTAACAGTTAGCAACCACTATTATCAGTTAATTTTTTAACCTCTAAAACTGTTTTTAAATTAACATAACCAACAGATCTTTATTGTTTTTTGTTTTGAAAAATAATTGTAAAAATCGTATTATAAGACAGTTTTTAAAAACAAAACGTGGGAACAGAACCAAATTGGCCCTTGCAAACAGGAATGAGAGCTACTTTTACTTGTATAGGATACATAAAAATTGTGATCGAAATATTCGCACAAGTTTTAACCATCACAACCATTGATAGCAAAGCTTGGCATTGTAACAAAAAGATACATTAATCTGCTAGTGGTGAGTGCGCTGAGCTATGCACAAGCTCAAATGAAAAATGCGTTAATCAAATATAGCCGCATGCCATGTATAAAGAAAGCAAGGGGAAAGAAAAATTATTCGTCACATGCCGATGCCAAATGTGGACTCAGATTCTCTAGTACTAATTTATTTTGTAAATACTTAAATTCAATCTAAACTGTTCAAATTTAATCCAACGGATGAGATAAGAAGTAAAGAAATGAAGAGAAAATGAATTTAATTCAAGCGTTAACTTTCTGAGCATTCAGTTCACAGAAATGCTGAAAGAGGTTGAATAATAACAGAGCATGGAATGGTTTCCAAAATATTATCTTCCCATCAAGTCCGTATAGCCACGAAATGATGAATAGGTCAAATTCAAATAAAAAAATGGTGAAATAATTAATTTTCAAAATAAAAGGGCAAGCAATTATAATGATGGAAAGGGGAAAAAAGAAGAAATTACAAGCAGAAACTAGGGGTGTGTGGGTGGCGTATTTAGTCGAACGAGGATATGAGATGTTGAAAGCATTCAATTGTGAAGAGACGAAACCAAGCTCTGAAACTATGGATGACGGAGACGCCAGGTTAAACTTATTCGCCATTACTGCTCCCAAAGTCCCTGAAGCTGCCATTGCTGTGGTTTATCTTTTTTTCCCGTTAAAAATTTTGCTGGGAAAAAGAAAGAAAATGAAGTGCACAGAGAGGCTGTACCTTGTATCAATGGATTGCAACTAGAAATGCACAGGATGAATATAAGCAAACTTTGCAGAAACTGCTTTGCGTTCAGGAGAGTGAAGCGATGAAAACTTCATGCAACTCACGCACGCTATGCATTGTTCTCGTTATCTATTTATCCGCACATCTGGAGCCACGTGATAAAAGTACAAGTGTGGTATCAGTAATTTATATTATATTATATTTTATATATATATATATATATATATATATTTGGGTTGAAAGTTTTGTAAATATACAACACTTTCTTTTATAGGGCCCTTCTAACCAAAATATAAGGTCAGAAGTTGCAATTAGTTGATAAATTTTTTTTTTCAAAAATGAAAATTATCATTTTTAAAGATTGGGTGGACTATGTTTTAAAAAAAAACACTTTAGAATAAATTAAATAAAGATATTTTTGGTAAAGATGCATCATAAATATTGCATTATGATTTGAAATAGGTTCTATATTTGAAACCAATCAAAAAGACCAATGAGGATTCAAAAGAGTTTTTTTTTTTTTTTAGTGCTTATTAGTATCTTTTTATTAGAAGCAATTTTATTTATGATATGATCAGGCATTAAATGTAGATACCTCTTTTAACGAAAATTGAAATATTGAGTTGTCACATTGTAAGAAACTAATTCCTTTCTCTAGACCCAACCTTCATCGGTTCTGAAAGAGTATTTTAACTTAAGCTTAATAAGTTTAATCCCACTATTCACTAGATCCAAATATTTAAAAAAAAATTTGTTCGAGAATTATAGGTCCCCCCCCCCCCAAAAAAAAAGAAAAGAAATCAAATAAATTGTTTTGTAATATAATATAATGGACCATTGCAAGAGTTCTGGAAAGAGTGTACAACAGAGAAAGTGGAAGAGAAATGCTGTGCTGCGTGTGCAAACTGAACTGAACAAAAAGTAAAGTGAGGTTAATCTTTCCTTTTTGGCCTCACTCGATCTTTTTTCAATACAAGGCTACCATGAATCATGCAAGACATGACCTTGATGACACATTCGTTAGATAACCTTGATATTAAGATTTTTGATAGGATATCCTGCAGGTGTAGAAATTGTATCTGACATGATCTAACATTTTTTTCGGAATTCTATCCCAAAGATTTTAAGCAAATATTTCGGGATTTCTTGCTACACAGATGTATTATTTGAACGTTTATTTCGAAATTCAAATCTCAGGCTTATGAAACTCATGATTACATTTTTATTTCAAGTAGAATTTTGTGCTAGGCTATCGTTTTGGGGCACTATGAATGTGCTATCTTGCTTTGGTCAACTAAACTCTAGTAAGACATAACTTCTCTCTCGTTCCTTAAAATCCACTTTGGTATTTAAAAAAATAAAACAACGTAGCACAAAAATTATAATTTCAAAATGATAAGATCCTCAACTCCAGCATAACAAAATAAAACTAAGCATACACTAAAATAGGCCAAGGTTTCACCATCCACATTTTCTGCACCACATTGTTACTTGAAAAGTGAGATAAGGAATCCTCTGAAATGCCTCCATGCATTTCTGTAATGTAATGTAAAAGCTAATAATGGATAACAAAATTAGTTTATTTTCCAGTAGAAGTTCCACAAAAATGTTCAGCCAACAAAGCAGGCATGTTATTCATCAAGTGCACAAAAAAACTAGTTCCTAGATGCTCTGCTCAAGCATCGCTCGCACCCTCATTGGAAGGCCATAAAGGCGAATGAACCCGGCAGCATCGGCTTGATCATATATCTGACCACTCTCAAATGATGAAATATCCTGCCTGTACAGGCTGTAAGGGCTCTTCCGACCAGTAACAGTAACAGAGCCCTTGTACAGCTTCAAAGTCACAGAACCTGTTGTGGTTGCTGTGATTTTCTCCATGAAGGCATCCATGGACTCCCGAAGAGGATCAAACCACCTTCCAGCATACACCAGCTCTGCATATTTTAGGGCTAATGAATCTTTCACTTGGATTGTTTCCCGGTCAAGTGTCAAAGACTCTAATTCACGTGCTGCAGTGAAGAGAATTGTTCCCCCAGGAGTTTCGTAAACTCCCCGGCTCTTCATACCGACAAGCCGGTTTTCAACCATGTCAATCCTGCCAATACCATGCCTTCCACCAATTTCATTGAGTTCAGAGAGTAAGGATGCTGGTGAAAGTCTCTTCCCATTAACCGAAACAGGTAATCCTGATTCTATCCCAATTTCCACATATCTGCAAGATAGAAGTGCATGTGCTAGAAAGTGTCAAGCCTAACAGAAACTTGACTGCTATGGAGCACTGACATTAAAATAGATATGTGACACAACACGGGACAGAAATTGCCACACAGGAAAACAAAATATTCAGTGCTTAATTGCAATTTGAAGTGTCATGATGCTGATGTTATTGTTGGATACATATCACCGTCTAATATTGTTTTCAACGTTTTGGGGCTTCATAGCATAATGAGAATATAAGGATATATCATTACTCTGCTTGATTTGGAGCATCCTCTGGATCCTCAGACATCATGTACATATCCTTCTTTGGCTCATTTGCTGGGTCTTCCAAAATGTCACCCTTGAGAGAAAGCAATGTCAATATCCATATGTCAATTCCAATTTCTAGTTTTAGGGCAGTGCAAAACGAACAAAGGTAAATGCATCAACCTAATGATATGGAATAAGAAGCAGGCTGTGCATTCAATTTGATGATTCAAATGTCATCAATAATCAAACGACTGGGTTCTTTTAATACTTTCAAAATATACGTTAATCTCCCTTAAAAACAAAATGGTAAGTATACAGACTTTGAGTTTTGCTAAAATTACTCAATCTTCCATTCTATTTTGAAACCTATGCAAAACTTCTATAAAAACAGAAAGTATATTGCATAACCTTATGAGATTTGCTAAAATTGCATATATATATATATATATATATTTATATATATATCTTCTATTTTTAAAGGAGGTTTGTAGTATTTTAAAATAGATGAAAGATTTGCACGTTTTCAACAAAACCCAATGGGTCATTTACTCTTTGTTTCAAGGCAAGTCTTTGCAGGCCTTGAAAATAAATAGGAAATCTGTGAAATTCTAGCAAAAATTAGGGAATAATTACGTTAGTTTTAAAAATTGAAGAAGCAAATTAGCATAAGGGGAATATGTTCGTACAATTTACTTAATAAAATAAAAACACTGCAGATTAGCATAAAGGGGCAGCCTAGTGCGCAAAGCTCCCACTATGTGTGGAGTTTAGGAGGTCGACTCCCTTTGGGTCTAAAATAATTTGAAAAACAAAAAAACAAACAAAAAGCCATGACAAATCATTCGATGCAGCTAATTTTGACACTAAACACTTTACCTCATGACTAAGGTGCCAAAGGTTCCTGTCTCTGCTGTATATGGATTTCTTTGTCACAGGAACAGGTACGTTATGCTTCTTTGCATACTCAATTGCATCTTCCCTCCCTCTAACGTCCCACTCCCTCCATGGAGCCACAACATTTAGTTTGGGATTCAAAGCAAAGAATGTGAGCTCAAAGCGAACCTAAATGATACAATCTTTGTGTCAAAAGGTATAAAAATGGTACAGCTAAATCTGTGAGCATAAATGTCACTCGTAAGACATGCCTGATCATTTCCTTTACCAGTACAACCATGAGAGACAGCATCTGCTCCTACTTCTTTTGCAACATCCACCATGGCCTATCAGCATATATGCATCAGACAATGTTTGTTACAAGCATCTTAGATAATGGTTCGTGACTTTTCCCCTTTTACCTAAAGGCTGAAAAAGTTATAAATAATGCACCAAAAGCTAACAGAGATGTGATATTGGAGAAGAATGTTGAAATAAGAATGTCAGGCTTTAATGCAGGGGCTAAAATCATATCAGCCATAAACTGAAGAAATGTGATTACCGTCAGTACCATTGTTTATTTATAACATAGGAACTGATCAACTGTATCAAACTTAGGACCAAAAATGAAATATATACCTTTGCAATAACAGGGCGAGCCATTGAAGTCCCAAGGAGATACTTCCTCTCATAAATTGCGCCAGCACGCAAACAAGGGAATATATAATCCTGGACAAATTCTTCCTTCAAATCCTTCACCACCAACTGAGAGGCTCCACTGGCTTTGGCCTTCTCTTCTAAACCTTCCAATTCTTTTAAGCCCTGCAAAGTTTAACATTTAATATCAAGACTGAAGCAAATAAAATATAGGTGTAGTACACACCATTAATCATAATTCATTAGCTTACAATCTCAAAGCATCTTTATTAAAACAAGAATAGTGAAGTGAGGTCTATTAATTATGACATACTTGGCCAACATCAGCAGTGAAGCAAACAACATCACATCCATAATTCTCTCTGCAAATTAAAGGTCATCAAACAAAGGAATTATAATAAGAATGAAATGGTATCACACATAACCAAACATAAATGATATGATAAAAAGGCTTTTAAAATAAATAAAAAACACAATATAAGTGAATTGGCAATGTTATCTACTGCTTATTATCAAAAATTACATCCTGAAGCACTTAATAAGTAAAAGCCACCCCTTTCATCCATCTCATGTTTTTTCTGCAAAACTCCAAGTCTATAGTCTAGATCTTCTTATGCCTATATCCAGTCCAGATCACCATATATAACAAAATGTCAACAACTATAGCAAATTGCATTATTTGCAAGAGTGGCTTGTTCTTCAGACTTTGTGTAGTACATAGGGAAGTGCGTCTACTTCTCTTAAACAAGTCAGCATGTTCTTTTCCGAAGATGAATCAATACTAGGGGGAAAAAAATCTCTAGCACCCTAATTATTGTTATTCAGGATCAGGATACATAAAAAGATACTGGGAAATCAAATTCTGCAAACTTGCAATGGAAGTATAGCTATAGGAAGGGGCACCATATATACCTTAGCCAGGGGACAATGACTGACGTGTCTAGGCCACCACTGTAAGCTAGCACAACCTTATTTAATTTTCCACGAAGCCCACTGCCCTTGGTAGTGGAAACTTCCGTCTCTGTACCACTGTGCAAAACTGCTTTTATTACTGCGTGTCAAAAAGTACTTTGTGAGACTTACAAATATGAAACTTAAATCTTGAGGAGAATCAAATATTTTAACCTGAAATATTAGTGTATTAAGTAAGAATTTCTAAAGTAACTTGAAAATATTAACCATGCATCCAATTACATCCAATGTAACCCTCTTTTCATTTATTCTTTTGGCACATTAACAAATTGAAGGTAGGAAGCTAAAAATGTGTGCTCATGATTGTTCAGATGAGTTGATATGGTTATTAATAAATACCAAGATAAGCTTGTTTGTATGAATGCTGTACCACAATTTTATAACTGCCAAATATCATTTCATCCCAAAAGCTTAGGCTACCATGAGAAGGCCTACGAATCATTTCACTACATTGCCAATGACTAAAGGCCTAATTTTATTTGACGGAGAATTAAAAGCAATGGTAAATTCATCCCCCAAATGAGGCATTGATCGAAAGCATTACCACTATGATAACGTGTTCACCGCAGGGAAATGGAAATATACAGCAGGTGGAAATATACACAGCTAGCCGCTAATGAGATAGTGGCATTGTGTTTACTTCAGTTATTACTATGAAATATCAATGCATATAACAGAAGGATAATACTTGTACACAGACTTTATAAACCAAGTCAATACAAGAATTATTTACAGTTAACAATGAGAGGTAGAGCTATATACATCACCTGGGAATTTGGTGATACCAACGCTTGTTCTTGGCCCCAACTGCATATGGAAGTGAAAAATAAGACCATCAACGCATGCATCAGAACATACAGATACGATCAAAAAAGAAGAGTTGTACAAAAAATTAAGGAGGAAGCTTTCAGCCAACCTTTCTCAATGATGATGGCTTCGTGTTCCATATTTGGGGGAGCAGCAGGTGCTCTAAGAAGAAAATTGATTGCAAGCAATTAGGAAACCGCCAAGAGCAAACACAATACACTTGAGTAAACCATTTCATTCAAAGCTGTCAAAATTCCACCTTTTATGATTCATCAAACTTCAATAGCCCATTAAGAAGATTAGGGGTTTTCTTTCCCCATTTTTCTAAATTGGCATCATTTAAGAGCAAAACTTTTCGGATTGAAAATTGAAACTTGCAACTAAAAAAAAAAAAAATAGACAATATAAAACTTAACCAAATGCACCTGTTCTATGTCCCAAGGGAGAAAGATTGGAGCATGAATAAGGAGAAACAGCTTTCAACTGGGCCATTACTGCAGCAGAATGAATATCACCAAAAGCAAAAGCCTTGTAAGGTTTCAGTTAAAGGCTTCGGTAGAAATGGGAGACAACCTGCACTTACGAAAGCATGGAGAAGTAGGGGGATTAAGAAAGCAAAGAATGAGATTGCTTAAGTGAAATCTGGGGGAAAACGTGGAAAGTTCAGCCGACACGGCAACACCAGGTTGAGAATGAGCAGTGTTAGAGAGAGAGCCAAGCAGGCAAAATCTTTGTCCCTAGCTGCAGCCTTTTTTCATTTACCTGGTTTTTGACTTGTTATTTCTTTCTTTTTAATTTTTTTATATGATTTTGACTACCTGTTTCGTTATTTCATCCTTCTTTCTCTTCTTTTTGGGCCAGAAATCCTTCTTTCTTTGCTCTTTATTATTTGCTAAATTAACATCAGAAAGGAAAACATATGATTGGAAGGGAATTTTACTTTGCCCCAAAAAAGTGTTTTTTCAAAATTATGTTTAAAGTATTAAACTTAAAATACGTATATTAAAAATGGATTTCATAATTATTTTATACCGTTTAAGGATAAAAATTTAACTTACACATTAAAATATAATTTTATATGCAAATTAAATTAATTGCTCTAAAATTTTTTTAAAATATGTTAAAATTAAACAACATCAATACATGTTTTAAATTTAAATTTATAATTATGATTCTTATTTCATTCTATGTTAATTAATAAAATTAACTTTTATAATTTTTCCATTTCAATAATATTTATATTATAGGTGGGGAGGGGATCAAGGTTTTTGTTAATTTTCTAATTCATTAAGTATAACAACTAGTGAACTACGTAAAGGTCAGATTAGAGAGTTTCACCCCAAAAAAAAAAAAAAAAAAGATCTCGACTGTCAACCTGAAGCATGCTCTGATTAAACACTGGGATTGACTTTTTGGTCTAAGGACCGGTCTTGCCCGCGTAGCCCGGAATACCACACCCGGTTGAACCACATTCATCTGACAAATATTGTGCCCCATTTTTGGTGCTTGAAGTAGTGGATCTTGTATGAAACATGACACACAATGGGCCTGAAATTTATGTCGTGGATACTACGAAGGGGCCTACCAAACCTTGAACATTATGGGCTTGTGATTTGAGAGAACATTTTACTCAGTTTCTCCAAAAATCATTGACCAAATTTCCAAAACAGGACAACTGGGGAAAAATCAAGTTGGCTTAATTTTCAACACTCGTGCTGCTAAACAGGATGCCCTGAATCACGTTTTCCATTGTCTCTAACACGTGTACACAATTCTGCTATGAAGTGTTTGGTTCAACGAAGAACTGATAAATAATATTCATTATGAAGAGGTGAGGAGGGCAGAAGAATTTATAAAGAGGAGGGAAAGGTAAGGGAAGGATTTTAACAATCCCTCACAAATCTCTTGGCTGGGCGAGGAGGGTTAAGTGATGAAGGGTCTCCTCTACATTTGTTTTAACTTAATATGAGTCGGTTTTTCAACCAAGCGATTCCCTTTCAACCACACCGATCACCGGACGAAACAAGTTGAGGGTATTGAAGATGTCAGTTCGGAAACAATGGTGCAGTATTACACAATGAACGGTGCAGTATTACCCAAACAATGGAGCAGTTCGGAAACAATGGTGCGAAAAGATGAAGAGATAAGTGTGAGCAGTATTTCTCTTATTGATCTCCAAGTGAACCAAATGAAGAATATTACCCAAAAAACGCAACTGATTTTACGGTGAAGTGATCATCAAACACAAACCTGGAGATAAAATATAATCAAACTACAATTCGCTGGTTCTTTGAGACGAAATGAAGTGGCGGTTATGAAGTCACTGTAATGGAGAAAGTGATCTGTGCTTTTCTTTTCATTCGTTTCTTCGTTCCTTTTCTAACCCAAAACAACAGAGAATAATTTAAAAAAAAAAAACTGAGCAACGGAACAATGAGGGTAAAGACGTGGAGGAGGAGGAGGAGGAGAAATCGAGAATACCTAGAAGTGAAATGCTAATGGCGCCAAACCATACGACGCAATGCCAACAGCCCAGCACGAAGGAGAAGATCTGAGATTCTAAAGATGAAATGTCGAGCAGAGCCACACGACGCCGAACGAAAGAGATTAGGGTTCTAGCCTTTTTGTCTCTGGCCAATAGAGTCCGAGGGTACGAGAGGGAGAGATGGATGGGAGGACGATGCTAGTGGGATCTGATAACTATGGGAAGGAATCAAAGAAATGTTGAAACCGTATTTGATGCTGCAAGAGTGTGTTTTAGAAGAAACAAGGACGGAGAGACTTTGAAATTGGAATAGTCCGATAAGTCTACTCCTCATTTAATAAGTCTCACATATAATAACCATTCAATTTAATTAAAAATTTATAAGAGATTTTGTTAAAAATCCAACATTTGAAAAAATAATACATATGAGGATTATTTTGATGGTGACGTGTGAGAATTGTTTTAAATATTTTTAAAAAATATATCTTACTTATTCCATACTAAAATATACTCATTCTCTTAAAAAATATAAAATATTTTTAACTTAATCTCACTTCCTAATAAAATTGTCGTCTACTAATCATATTTTTTTATATTTATTCTTATTAAACATTCTATAATAAATATAAAATTATTTATCAATAGGGGCACTTTCGAAAAAAAGTCAATAAATTATACCTTAAAAGACTAAAAATACATTATATTTTTTAATATCCAACTCCTTAAAAAATGCTTTATATTTTTTAACAGAGGGAGTGCTCTTCTAATCCTATTCATAAATCACTTTCAACATGTTTTATCCGTATCGAGAAAAACCTTAAAATTTATTAACCCTGTCTTAAAATTTAATAAGTTCTCAACTTTGCCCCTATTAAATATATATACTCCAATAACATATTTTTTTCTCTCCAAAATTCAATGGAGAATAAAAAAATTTTGTGATAAAAATTTAATGACGTGACTTATAAATAAGATTAAAAAACTCCTTCTTTTTCTGCCCTATAAATAGAACCAGAGGGAGTAAGGCATTAATAACTAATTTATGGTTCTCAAAAAATGTTATTTAAAATCTTAATTTCATAGAAAAAAAATCACTTCTTTCCAATTTCATTCTCATTAAATATTCTATATAAGTGCTTTGATAATAATACTTAAAATTTTAATGCATCATTTTTCAAAAAAATTAATAAATGGAGTAGGGTTATTGCTAGAAAAACAATTATATAAGTTATTTAATACTATATATTTTGGACTAAATAAGGCTTCTAAAAATGTCATATATTATGATATAAAAGTAATAATAATTTTTAAATACTTATAAAATATAATGACTATAATTGAAATATTTATTGAGTAAGGCAAGTCACTATGGCCTTGTTTAGCATTCATGAATCTTGACTTTAGAAATTGAACTGGCTTTGGTAGTCTGGAGTTGAGATTCTCAATTCCATCAAGATCATGATGGAATCTATAGAATTGCTATTGTGAGTTGATAAGTGCATATTTTATAATTAAATAGGTATAGATTTTTGTTTGAATTTGATTGTATTTATTAAGATTTCATATCTATTTAATTGATATTTATATTTTTTTTCTCATCATTTAATTATAAGATAAAAAAATTTTAATATAAAATTCACTCATATCTTTTTATCTTTATATTTTGTAGAGAAAAAGAATAAACCAAAAAGAAGAAAAAGAGAAATATATATATATATATTAGAATACTACATCGACAAGGAACAAAAGAAAGAACCTCCATTTTAATTATAAATAGTTAAATACTCCCTCCATCAAGAGGGAAGGTGTTCAATCACTTATCTGAGTATCTCAAAAATTTTCTCTGAAATATTTGGATTTTGTGGAAGTATTTTGAAAGCTAAAAGTGAAATCATTGAAAAATTTCACAAATTATAATTATTTCTTTTCTACTCTTTAATTTTCTTTGTGATCATTTTTTATTATTGGAGATTTTAAAATGGTTTTATTTGATTCTATTATGTATTTCTAAATTACCCAGTTGGGATAAGGACGTAACTCAATTAGGGAACTAATTTTCTATTTCTTTTGTTTTGACTCTTTGCATTTATATTTATGAATATTTTTGCTTTTTTCTAATTATATTTATTTCTCTTGTTTTTCATATTGATTTAATGATTGACCACCATTTAATTAAATCTATGAGTAATTTTGATGGACTGAAAGGTAAAGAGAGAACTTAGATCTAGAGAAATAAACATAAATAACTAGGTTAGAAATAGTTCTAAAAATTTATAGCGACTTAAACTATAGCTTCATGGTTTAATTAGTTGCTTGGGTATCGTGAGAATGAATCCAACACTAATTAAAAAGGAACTAATAATTCAGAAGAATACTAAAACATTTTAGGAATAGTTGTCACTATAATTGATTTGAGTCAACTCAAAGGATAGAAACTAACAACCTATAAGGTGAATCCTAAATCTCAACGTTTCAAGTGATTGTGTTTTCATCATCATTATTTTCTTTATTTATTTTTATTCTTTATATTTTCATCAAAATTATCCATTCTATTTATTTTTCTTGAGTTATTAATTATTTAAATTAGTAAAAGAGTAATTTTTCTGTGAATTTAACACTTAAAATACTTTAAATAATTTATTACTATAATCTTGTATACTTGCGAGCAATCATGAGTCGCCTTAGTCATTTTCAAATCAGAGTTTGTGTCATCGGCGACAACTGGTGCCATCTGTGACAAGAAGGTTGAGCGTAGCAAGAAGAGCAGATTTTGTGAGAAACTTGGAGGAGTTGACTCGTGGCTTAGAAACGAGGGGGCCAACTACTTGAGAAAGCTAGCAACAACAACGTTAGGAATCACAAATGAGATGAGTGACATATTACATTATTTACACATATTTTATAATAATTTTTTTACATTATTGTATCCTTAAGAAATCAATTCTTGTATACTTAGACAATTTTAGAAATTTAAAATTAATTAGGATTCATTCATAACCTAAGGGTATTTTAATTATTTTGATAATTTTAAGGCAATTTTGAAACATTAGCTTATTTTATGTCTTTTATCTTCTTAAAATCAATGAAACAAATTTGAGATTCAAATTCATTATAGATTACAAAGAGACATTAAAAGACATAAGTCATAGAATGTTTCAAGACAAAAACATTAATATTAGATTGTCATATTTTATAACTTAGGACTTTGGAAATGGCATTATATCTTGTAATTGATTTTGAATTTTGATTTAAAATTTTATACACATGCTTTGATCATTCTTTGTGTACAATTGCAGATACAAATAAGGATTTGGATCAAGGTTAAAATGGCCAAAAGATTGGATTACAAGATAGAGTACAAAGCTAGAAGATCTTAAAGTGACATATATGCAAAAGTTAATGGAGAGGCTTCTTATGACTTTAAGCATAAAAGATTTCAATCAAGAACCCCTTGATCACTCTTTAATAATATTTTTAGAAGTGTTTAGTGAATTATAATCAAATGTGGAGCATCCTACAAGAGCTACATGTACATCCAAGTTAACCTAACTTGAATGGTGCCACATTCATTCTTAAACCTCTTAATTAAGTTTGTTGAGTAGTTTCAGATATTTTATGATTTTAATCACCCAAAACACATCATATTCTACTCATTTTACACCATCAAAAGTTGAATATAGGATTTTGGGTCATGCACACACTCATTCACCTATTTTACACACTACATTTCGCACCTATTCTCTTTTACTTTTTTTTTGAAATTTTTAACACCACTCCATTCTGAATTTTCTCTCATTTTTCCTCCACTTTCCCACACTCTCTTAGTCACAATCCTTCATCTCGAGCAAGTGTTGAAGACATGGAAATCATCTCAAGGAGGATTCAAGTTTGAATTCAAGGAGGATTCACCATGAGAGTCTAGATTCTCAAAACTTTTCAAAAAAGATAAAGCCATATCTTGAGTTCTCCTAAACATTTTTCCTTGCTTTCAATTGCTTTGAATTTTTCTCTTCTCCTTCTTTAATTTTGTAATTCATTCTCTTGATGATTGATTCTAGGTCTTAGATTAATCATTATAATTGAAATTCATGTTCCAAAGAGAAGATGATGTGTATTTGATTCATAAACTAATTGTGCACTCTAAGTGTTTGTATTTATGCCTCAAGATTTTGATAAATGAAAATATATATTTTCATTTCAATCTCCTATTGTTTAGACATGCATTAGCTATTGTTTAAGTTTTAAACTCTAATTAATATCATAATATTGATTGGTTTAAGGTATTAAATATGATTAAGGTAAAAGCTAGAACTAGTTTCAAGGATTGAATCAAAAAATGGTGTATCTATATGAGTGGTTTGTATATTGAATTTTAAGTGGTTACTAAGTTCTAATTACTATGACCTAATATTGATGGTTATTAAGACACCTTCACACACAAATTGAAGAAGGCAATTGAATCTAAAATAAGGTGAGGAAAAACAAGAATGAAAATGGTGAATTCGAATCTTAAAAAGCCGCTTTGATAATTAGTTAATTCTTACACATTTTTTTCACATTAAAATCAAACATAAACATCTAAATTCTCTTTTAAACTCTTCAATTTAATCATAAAATTTTAATTTGTCATGGTCATTGACTTAATTTGATTACAAAATACTTGCTCATTGAGGATTAAATGACTTAAAATGCTCACACTACTACATTTTAGTTTCTTTAAGAAACTTGATGTCACTTAAGATTTTTCAATGAGGATGATGGAGAATCCACTAAAGCAAGGGAACGATTCAGAGAGTAAGAGCATCAGAGCATGCACACACGCCATCCTCCGATAAGTCTTTAGTTCTTCCCTGATTGATTGGTTAGGGACGCCATTAAAGCACCTTGTCTGCATTCGTCAAGGTTTTTTCCAAATCTATGTGTGAAACCTTGATTTCGTTGCATCTCATTTCATGATTGCACCTTTGTTTTTTCCCTCAAATATGGTGTTCGCCGATGGCTTTGCTTGCCGTCATCGTTGAGTCATGTTGGTGGAAAAGGGGGAGGGAACAAGGTAAGGGACTGGGGAGGTCTTTGTAATATTAAAAAAAGACAATTTCGTCTATTCTTATTTTAAATTTATATACTGATTAAAATTATATTAAAATTCTATTATCATATTAAACATACTTTTAAAATTTTATTTTATTTTAATTTTGATTTTAATTTTAATTTTAATTTTATTAAAAACTCTTACATCACATTATACGAGACCTAAATTCAAATTCAGATTCCAGTGGGATAAGAGCAAATAATAATTAACTCATCTCAGTTATTCGCTTGGGGGAAAAAAAACTGAGTTAAGTTATTCCCCATCCACAGCAAAGACTTGTTTTTTTTTTTTTTTTTCTGTTTTTCTTGGGGGGGAGGGGGAATGAAGGACAAAAGCATTAAAAGGTGAGAATTAAGGATTTGGAATCTCTCCATTTCTTTTCCCTCCATTTCCCCCATCTCCACCATTCATTAATTTTATTTTTTTAAAAAATTATTTAATAAAATAATTTGAATGGTAGGGGTTGGAGAAATGAAAGGAAATGGAGGAGAAAAAGTAGAGAGACTCCTCTCCTGAGAATTAAATTCTTGATTCGAGGACGAGAATCGTGCCACTTGCGTTAGTTGATAAGAATAAATTTAATTTAAGGTAAACATATTTTTTAATTTATGTACTTTATTCATATTTTACTTTTGATTTTTATATTTTTTTTATATTTCAGGTTCCTATATTTTTTTTTTTATTATTTTAAATCTTTTCAAGATCCCTGTACTTAATTTATAAAGGGATCAAAAATAATAAAAGTGTAGAACCTAAAACATAAAAAAAAACTATAAGAATCAAAAGTAAAATACGAATAAAGTTTAGAAATTAAAAATTATATTTACCCTTAATTTAATAAATATAACTTTTCATTCAAATTATAATATACAAATTTGAATATATCCAATTAAACTGATAAATTGTTAAACTAGTGTCTTGATCAATTTAATAAAATACTTTATTTATGATCAATTGAATCACAATTTGACTAGAGTTTTAATCATAACTCTTAAGTTAGTGCTTTGATTGGTTTAATAACCAATTTAGCTTTCAATACTTGTTCAAAAGTCAAAACAAAAACAAACCAAGATCCAAAGCTGAGTGAAATTGTTAATGGTGTCACTACATTAGCAGCAAGCTTTCAAGCTAATGGGGTGTCACTTCAAAGTTCAAACCCCAAATCTGGATCCTCTTAATGGCAAAATTCTCATTATCTCTCAATGGCAAAATTTACTCCATTCAAATGATCAAAATATTTTCAATATATGCATTATATGGTTTTTAAAAATTCACGCGAGCAATTTATTTTTAAATAGTTAAAAAAACATTTGAAAGGATTATTTAGAAGTAGAAATAGGTCAATTCTAGGCTAGACTTTGATTAAAGCCTAGCCTATTTATATAAATAAGCATAATTATAAGTTTACGTATATTTTTTATTGAATAAGTCAAGCTAAAATTTAAACAGGTTAAGTTATAGGTCTCTATAAATCTATTTACTTATGAAAAAGCCTGACTTACAGCACCTAATTAAATCTATTTACAAGCTTGTTTAGTCCAAATCTAGCTGACACTAATTTGACATTGACTTGTTCCTACCCTTACATGATCTTTCAAAATGTTTTTTTTACTAATTAAAAACAAATTGTTCACATGAATTTTTAAAAGCCATGTAATGTGTATATTAAGGATATTTTGATTATTTGAATGGATCAGATTTTGCTGTTGAGAGACGCTAAGAAATTTGCTTCTAAAAGGATTTGGTTCCTTGAAACCCCATAGAATTTCAATCGAAAGTTCAAACAAATGAAACAAACAACTAAATGCGAATATTTCAAAACTTTGAAATTTCAGGTAAAAAAGCACTTTATAATTAAAAGTCCAAATTATAATGTTGACAAGAAATTATTTTTTAAAACATTTAAGTAAAATTTTTAACTTATATCTTAACTATGATATGTTAATTAAGCTTTCCAACCTTTACCTGTTTGAAGTAATTTTAAAATAACTAAAGGGGAGGGAATTACCATTTGCTCTAATAAAGATTAGTCCTTATTGTTAGTGGAGTCCACTACTTCTTGCGCCTTTTCATAAAAAATTCATTTTAAATTTTAAAATTCTTTGATATACTTCTTCAGCTAGACATTTTTTTTAACATATTAGATATTTAAAAATGTAAGACATATTTAGTGTTTCAAGATATAATCATTATATTTCTTATAAAAATGTTCCTAATAAATAAATTACTTTATATTTATTTTAAAATAAAATATTCTATTTTCATTTGAGGACAAACAATTATTTTATTGAAAGATAAGATTTAATTAAAATTTTTTTATATTTTTTAGCAAAAATAATAAACATTTTAAATTAAGTTCTTTTTTAAAATCATTTTAAGCATGGCGATTGCCTATAATTTTATTTCAATTTCAATTTTACGATTCAGATCATCTCTGTTTTCGTTTTTGGCGGAATCGTTTGATTGACATACGTCTCATATCAAAATGTTTTTGACTAACTACAAATTATGGTCCGCAACAACTTGGTTTAGTTTTGCACTTATGCTCGCAGGTGGGGAACTAACCCGTTCATATCAATTTGTCATGTTAACCTAAATGAGGAGGATGGAGAATAAGAAAAACGGATAGGCCTCAAGCTAGCTCATAAAACCCTTATTATTATTATTATTATTATTATTATTATTATTATTATTATTATTATTATTCATCTCTTTAAATTCTCATTCTTCTAACTCTAACTTATTGCATATTTAAACTTTGCACCTCAAGTTCAAATAGCCACATATTCGCTCACTCGCACGAGCGTCTATTCGTCTTTCTTGCTCTCTATCTTCCTTGCTTGATTTCTTCATAATACTTGACTTAGTCACATACCATAGTCCCAATCCTTTCACGCATCACACTCCAGAATTAGCGTCTTTAATGTGAGAGCTTCCTTCAATCACATTTTATATTTAAGTTTCTGTCTGTCAAATTGCAATTTATGAAAACTTCAGTTTTAGAAACACCAATCTAAACACACAATTAGCAATAACAAGTTGAATGAAAGGTCTAAATCAGAAAAGTAAGAAAGGTCTAATAATCTTATATGAGAAGCAAGGAAGGCGGCAGGGAAAAGGAAGTTCAATTTTTGTGTGTCCTATGTTTAAATGCAATAGAAACTACAAATTTTAAATCCTTATCTTACAATGGTGAATCAAGCTTGAGGCTTCCGACTCTAACTCTGAACCCTGGTCTTCTTTTTAGCCATTCTTTTGGTGTCCTTTTCAAACAGTCTTTGCTGCATCAAGTCTAACAAACATGACTGCAAGTATTTATTTATGTCCATCACATGCTTTGCCATCTTCGTTGCCCAGACACGATTTTCCATACTTGTTTCCACCTTCATTTGCATGGCCATGTCTACAGGCATGTTCACTTTCTGCCGATACATAAAAACATTTGAAAACTTAACGTTTAATCATGTAGTTGAATAATTCAACTTTTTTTATTGCCCTGTCTCAATATATAAGTTGAAAGACATCATTTTTTATTTGCACTATTTTATGATGAACCAAGCAAAACTGAATTCCACTGTATGTGTAAGAAATAGTGATTATTGAAGGGAAGATAAAAAAACCTGCCCATCAGACATTTGCTGGGGGCATTCTAAGGAATGGAGAGTTGTAGTTCCCTTTTCCTTCGATGAGTTGATCAGCTGAGGATACTTGTCGAGAGAAGAGACAGTATACTGATTGGAAGCTCTCCTATGGTTTGATGTAGAGAGCATCGAAGACCGCTGAACAACCACCAGATTAGTTATTTTCCCTGCTATCAATAAAACCATAAATTTTGCTAATTTATGTTTATGTATATTCCAAGGACACTATTTGTCCAAATGCTTGAGAAACGAACATAACTGTGCACCTGATGGAGACTTAGTAGTATGAGATATCAAGTCCCAGATAAAGTAGTATAAAATGCTCAATTGGATGATTAAATGCATTGGTTTTTCCACCACAACATCTAGCTTTTAGGATAGGATTTCCCATCTCACTTCAGTACCCATGAGCACCTCACTACAAGGACTTAAGAGATAGTTTTTGCCACAAGAATATCAGCTAGAAAGTTAAATATCCTACCATTAGAAATAGTTTCTATAGGCCTAAAATCCTAAATGAATGACAAGTTGACATCTCTCTAGTCTCTACCACAAAGGGGCTGGAACAATAGCTAGTACAAATTAATAGATTGTGATACCTTTTTCGACATCAATCCTTTGAATAACTGTCAAGTTAATGACATCCCAGATGCAGATTGTGTTGTCTTCAGAGGCAGATATTAGGCCAGCTTGACCTGAGGTGAGGGCAGTTATAGTTCCACTGCATACTTGACATGAATCAGACTGACCATCATTACCTCCTTAAAAGAATTGGCACGACTCATTTAAGTTGGAAACACTGACCAAACAATGAGCCACTCACTCAAAATTGCATCTTTTTCTCTATGCCGCTCACTTACATTACTTTTAAAGGATAGATTTAAAAAAATGAAGCACCCACAATGCTCGAACATATATAGCCAATCTGTCAGGGTTAGATTGTCATAACTCATGAAAAGCTTCAAGTGTCATAAATACCTGTGTCCTTTCAGTTCAAGTAATTGGTCTGATGCAATACTGGAAGGTTCTTCCTCCACACCTACATCAAGCTTTTTGCCAATTACATGTCCATTTACTGATCCATAAAACAAAATCCCCTCTCCTTGGTAAAGAAAAATGGAAGTTATTGCCAAATGATGAACAAGAGATTGCACAAGACGTCCTGAGATAAAGTCCCAAACCTATATGAAACTTAAAATCCCACTTTAGCATGGAGCAAACTCCAACTAATGAATATTAGAATCTTGAGGAGTGAGAGTATCAATGTATTGATTAATCACCTTGCAAGTTCCATCGAGGGAACTTGATACTAAAACTGGAAAGTAATTGCCTGATGTGGTTAAGAGACCTGTTATGGTGGACTCATGCGCTGACCAGCTATGTAATAAAGAAAGAGAGCTTCCAGTTCCTTCCACATCTAACAAACTTCAACCAAAATGATCGTAATAAATGCATCACTATGATGGTTTGAGTTTTTTTATCTAATCTTATTCTAGAGGTCAAAATTCTCAAAATACTAGAGAACTCAGTCTTTACCTAATTAAAGACCAAACACATATCATGCCATCATCAGAACTAGAAATTAGGAGAGAATCATCATCAGAAAATAACACGCGGTTCAAAGTTTTAGCATGAGCCCTCCAAGTCTTGAGCAATTTTCCGCTAGTCACCTACAGATCATCATAAACATATCAAAATTTAAGGTGACACGAATATTCATCTGACAATTATATGCAATCTAATATTAGGGATGTATTAGCTTATGGCTAAGTTCGTTCAACAAGTTTCCAGAATTAATATATTAAAATAAGCATATGAATGCATAGATTACTGATGAACTAAATTAATGATGTGGGGGGGGGTGCTAGAGAAATAAGTAAGAGCAATACATATTATTTTACGTCTAGTGGATCATGGTACTTGCAGAGTCGGTCATTTTACTTATTTATTTGCTTTTCAGGTAGTTATTTCCTATCATCTTAGTTATGGATTAACGAGAATCCTTTTGGAGAGTCATGAACCATTTTTCTGTCTATAGATATCAAGGTTCGCAAAGTGTAGAAATCATCTCAAAATTAAATCAATATTCGTTTTTATCATATAGAGATTCTCTTTGGGCTTTATTAGTTATATGAGTTTATGAAGTTAGATTTTGATTTTCTTTTTCTTTTTCTTTTTTGGAATAGAAAGCATTTAAGACATTTCTAAACTCATAAAATTATGGCATGCAGTGGTGAATCATTAAAAATCTTAATATCAAGATTGACATTAAGAGCCGAGCAAGCCAGATTTTGATTTCATGTTCCAATAAAGATTTGTCTTTCTTCTTTCTCTCTACCTTGGATCCTATGCTTATCATAAATACTCAATAATTAACCCTTTTTTTTTTTGCCAAATATATAAATTAGGTGTCCTGGCTTACATCCCAAAGGTAAGCATTCCCCGAGAAAGCTCCTCCAGCAAGATATGTGCCGTCCTTAGTGCAAGAAAGCGGTCCAATGGCCTCCAATGGGTAGCTCCAAAGAGGTTGTTGAGGCTGAAACCAAAACAATTGAATGAAAATGAAGTTTTCTACGGAAAGTAAAGTAGTAATTCAGAATTTCAGCTCGAAACGTTACCTTGTTCAACGCCCAGATGCCAATGGCTCCACCACCAACAGATCCGTGTCTGTTAATTTGCGACGCTGCAATGAACTGGCCCCTTAAGCAAATCAACCCACTCGAAGGTGAAGCACAGTTTGGTAGGTGCAGAAGATCCTCTCCTGTGCTCATGTCCAAAATCTTTAACCCCAAACCTATGCTTTTGTCACCGCACACCACCAAAAGCTGTCCGTCGCTACCCATTATTTCTCCAGGCAAGCAGATAGAGACTCCTATACTTGCTGTTTTTCAAAAGAAACGGATGCATAGCATTGTTTGGGTGAGATTATTGGTAGTTCAAATCAGAGAATTTGAAATCCTCGAAGACCATTTTTTCCCCCCTTCACGTTTTAGGGGAAAAGCAACGTTAGGAATGTGAATTGCAAGCGTGGCGTGGTTCATCATTCATGCAGGGGTGGTGCAATTCGAGCAGCTGTTGTCAGAGACTTGACACGTATATCGAAGATGAGTTATTTTCTTCTTGTTTTTTGTTTTCTTGCCAACGCACATTGAAGAAGGGTCTCGTGACTTGCAATTATGGAGAGTATTAAACTAGGAATCGGTTTCAGGCGCTCATTCGTAGTGCTTAGCACCAAAGCACTGCCGTTTGGCAGTGGTTTTTTTTTTTTTTTTTTACTTTTTTAACCGCAAATTCATTATAATAATAAATAAATGTTATAAAATTATTATTTTAATATTTAATAAATAAATATTAAGATGTTAAAATTAAACCTGGATAATTTAACTCATTAAAATTTAATTTAAATAGTTCATATATAAATTTTGATCTGAACAATTTAAAACTACATTGAAAAAATTAGAATTGTAATTAAAAATAGTTTTTAATTTTATTGATTTTGCACAGTTATTTATCTATGAGAGATAATATGATTGAAGGTATGATCAGATATTAAATATAGGTACTTTTCTTAACAGAAATTCAAATATTGATTTATTAAAGTGTAAGAAACTAACTCATTTTACTAAACTCAACCCCTATTTTAAATTATCCAAATTATTTTTTATTTTTCAGTATAGTTTTCAATATTCAAACCAAAATTTTTATTTGAACTATTCAAATTCAATTTTAACATCTTAATATTTATTTTTTATTAAATATTAAAATAATAATTTTATAATAATTATTTCTTATTACAATAAATTAATAATAAATTTATGGTTCCAAAAAAGTAAAAGAAAAAAAATACTACCAAATGATAGCATTTTGATGCTAAGCACCATGGTGCTCATTCTAAGACGAGCACCAAAACCGAATCCATTAAACTATTTGGATTCATTGAAATGCATATTTGATTTTCAAAAGTAAAATTACATTTAAGATATTTAATTATTTATTGAATTTAAAAGTACATCCCAAATATAACTTGAATGTGCTTTTAAGGAATGATAATTAATAGAATTGGATATGGTGGAATGTAAGGGAGTGGAATAAAATGAAATACTCCTTCCATTCTAAATTATAAGATATTTTTTGGAGAGATTTACCATCCTAAAATATAAGACATTGTAAGAAAATTAAGGTTTTATTAAATAGGCTTATTTCAATATTATATTTTCTCCCTCTTTATATTTAATACTAATTAAATATAGATTTAAGCATATTAAATGAAGAGTATTTTTAAAATTTTATATTTTTTTTAAAAAATAAGACTGTTAAATGTATTTAATGAGGTTTATTAGTATGTAAAATTTTATACAAAAGTGTCTTATAATTTGAGGTGCAGGGAGTATTTCATTGTTTGGGAATTTCACTAGGTAAATGAATAATTTTATTTAATTATTATTCAATAATTAGTATAAAAGTAATACCAGCTCTTAATATAAGATGAAGTTTGGAAGCTTTTTGTTCTAAATATGAGATGAAATTAGAATGATTAATGCTTTATTTTCAATTTTACCCCTTGTATGTTTATTATTATTTTAGTTTTTTCTAAACAACATTTTATTATAATCATTAATTAAAAAATGATAAAATTGAAAAGTTATATATCTTTTATAATTTTAAGGTTATAACTAACATTGTTTAGTGAGTATGAAATTTTTTAACTTCGTTTTACATTAAGAACTTGATAGAATAGATTTAAAATGATATAACTATATCTTTTAGTTTTAGAATAATGGAAAAAGAGTGAAAGAAACTGAGAAGGATGGAAATAATTTTATAATAATGTTATTTACATCAAGCCCTTTTTCAACTTTATAACAAGGATTAGAAATTTTATTATGAGAATTTGAATTATTATTTAGACCACATTTTATAGAAAAATGTGATTTGCTCGTTAAACACATAAAGATAACTTGAAACTTAAAAGGGTTGAAGTGTAATTTTACTCTTGAATTTTTTTTAGGATCATTGAACATGTTATACTAATAAGTGGGATAATTTTTTTTTCTAAGCTATTTTTCTGAGGAGCAAAAAGCTCCTTCTATTAATCAGCCATTAACTTTGTCATTTTCTAATGACATGGCATGTGTGTGGGGCTCATGCCCAGTAACAGGTAAAACTCTAACCATATTTTTTGGTGTTAATTTGTCTCTAAATTTTTTTTCAGGAGTGATAAGCATCCTAAAGTCTTTTTTTAGAAGTGTTAAGTATCTTGAAGTCTTGTTAAAATAAAATTTAATAACTATTATTAAAATATTAAATATTTTCATATTTAATAATTTCAATATTATTAATTATAAATATTCATCCAAATTTTATAAATAACTTATAAATATTATTTAAGACAGTGCCTATATTATTATGCCCTTCGTATAGGTGGTGCAACATCCTAATTGCTTAGTTATAAAACTAATTACTATAAAAATAAATTAGTAATTGGTGAGTGATTAGAAATTTGGATGATAAATTGATATGTTGACTGTTTAAAATGTTAAATGAATAGATATGGGTGAAATGATCACGTTTTGAAGTGAAGCGGATGTGCATGGTGAGGAGTTTCCTTATTGTGCCGCACATCGGGGCTAGTGCTACTTGCACTGTAGCGCACAACATAGAAAGGTGATTAATAAGGACTTGTCTAGCTCGTGAAATAAAAGGGAGGAAGTGGAGAAATGCCATTAAAAGAGGAGAAAAGAGGGAACTTGTGCTACGTGTAACCTCTCCCAATATCCACTTGATATTATAAGAAGTTAACTAAATCACCACGTTACTACAATCATATAAATTCTCAAGGAAGGATTAATTTCAAAAAGCTGGGGCCCAAGACTTGCTTGATAAAATCATTAAGATCCTTTACTTATTAAAGTAATGCACAGCGAAAAGAAATCACATGCATTCATCACATAACCCATGCTTCAAAATACAAGAAACCAAGTCAGAAATCTAGATGTGCGTCATGGCATGCACCACATGCACTGCGGCATGTGGCATAGAGCCACAGGCATCCCTTCTCTGTGCCATGCACCGCAATGTAATGCGCAATGTATCGAGGCATGCATGACATAAATTCCTGATGTCATATGACAGTTCACAGAGTAAACTTTTAGCGTGCGCCATTTTCTCATATGATGTCCAACTGAAATGGTTCAAGTGCCCACACAAAACTTATTTTATAAGTTAGCTAATGAGATAAGTTTGGACATGATCTAATGGTCTAATCTAAATTTGAATACTCAAGTGTAAAAATCTACTTTTTTAATAATTTGGTGCACCCAAGCGTTTAAATTACACCCTTTGTCTCATTAGACCATTTGAGGCCTAGAACCAAGTCTAAAGGACCTTATACACCTGATTGACTACAATTTATATCATGTATACATACAAATTAAAATTTGGCTATTCAACAATCCATTTATACAACAGGCAACTTTTCACATCTTAATACATAAACACTTGTTTGGCCACATCTACCATAAGTTCACAACAAATTCACACGTTTTCACATTCACAACATGTTTATAATTAAATATTAGCCCATGTTTCTCCTTTCAATACATATTCACACATATAGGCTACACATATAGGTTAAGATTTACAAAATCACTACAAATCACAGCTTTAAACATGCATATGTTATTATATGGCAGCCTTTCATATAAGGTTGGTATTAATCATACATTTGTAGCTTGAGTTACTAACATAGCCATTGATAGCCACCACTTTTATGTTGAAGGTAATAAGAAGGTATAAGGTTGGCATTAATCATATATTTATAGTCCTGGCTGCATGATTGTTATTATTATGGTTTGGTGTATCTTAGGGGCGTATGGTTCTTATTTTTGCAACCCTAAGATGTGTATAAATGTGATATATTCAATGATATGTGTTGCATGTTCGGTTACATAATTGTTATTATTGTGGCCGAGGCTAGATTTAATGTATGTGTATGTGAGTTTTGAATTCATTGCCATTTGCATACAAATTTAATTGATATGCAACTGTATAAGCTAGGTGGACCTTAGTTATTGAGTAGTTGTACTCATCTCTTATTCTGTAATATTTTTAAGACCTAACTCATCGAATCAAGATTAAGAAAAATAACTAAAGGCATAGGATTTTGAGTAAATCCTACTTGTATGCCTCTTAGTTTTAAATTATGTGTATTAAAATTATTAATTTGTCAACTAGGATTTTATTCCATTATTTTGTCTACTTGCATTATAACTAAAAGTGTTTTGTGCATTTTGTGCCTTGAGCTAGTGGCAATGTGGTTGTTAAACTTAAATAGGGCTAAAATACTAGTTTAAGTAGGGTAAAGTATAATTGGTTGGCAATGATTGAATATTGATGATTTCATGCAAAGTTACCTCCCATTTTTTATTTTTTGTGAATCAAAGGGGTTGAGTGGTGAATTTATGAAATATGCGTGTTAATTTGGTTATGGTATATTGTGTGAGTTCAAAATAGTCCATTAAGTGTGGTCTAAGAGTTGGTGTAGGCTTTTGGCACATGTGTTGGAGGTTGGATGCCCTAGTTGTGAGTTTTTGTAAAAATTGAAAAGGGTGTCCATCTTTTGTTAGAAAAATAATTTGATTGTGAAACTTATGTAATTAGCTAGAACTAGGAGAAAGCTCTCTATAGACATTTATATCACTTTAATCGAACATCAAATGGAGACATGGGATGCGTTGTGCTTTCTTTTGATAGCGAAGTTTGTTGTCAAAATTCATGCAATGTGCCATGACACACCCGCAGCAAGCCGTGATACATGTGCTGCTTTTTGCACAGCTCACTATTTTAGAGTTTATATGCATTCTTTCTTCGATTCCCATACTTTCGCTTATGTTTTAAACCTTGATTTGCAAAAGTTAAAAGCATACGGGAGTATTTTAAATTGAGAAAACATGGGATCCCTGTTCGTGTAATTTGACAAATTTGAAAATTTTATTGATCGTCAGAGATTAGGGAGGATTAGTAAGGTAACCTTACTTGTCTATCTTGGACTTTACTGAAGTAAAGTACTCTTTAAAAGCCTTCTTT